TACCAATGTTCCAAGAGGGAATGGGCAGGTTGGAGGAATTCCTCTGACCCCGATTCCATTCCTATCCAAATTGTCCACAGAAGATCCTACCAAATGGTACAAATAATGTTGAAGATGTACAATGAATACTGAACAGCACTAAGATCAGAAGCACAAAGAGCTACCCGTTTCAGCTCCTCACTGGAGAAATTGAGAGGACTTAAAGATTATTGAAATTCTTGAAGAAAGAAATATGATGAAAGATCGAGAAAATGTGAGAGGAAACAGGCAAAAACATTCAAAAAATTCAGGAAGAGAACAGAAAAACATACAAGAAAAAGTGGCACGGGTGTACAATGCGAACGACTTAGTGGCCATACAACGAACAGAATATAGAGGCAGTCTAAAGTTAAAGCCAAAGTTCTTTGGTCCGTAATGCGTAACAGTGAGAAAAGGCAGACTGATCCAGGTGGAAAAAGAACATAGCATGAAGGTCCTGGCTGTACAACCACAGCAGCTGATCATATGAAGCCTTGGACTTTACAACTGAACTGTGCTATTCCTCTGCCCCTTCTTTTATTATTATTATTTTTCATTTATTTACTTTCAGATGCTGTCCTGATGTACCAGTGTCGCTAATTTGTGTTTTTGAGGACGAAAACAAGAGTTAGATGCTGAATCTGTAGGAACCATTAGTTCCACAGCTACCAGAGGGCACTACCTGACAGAGTGAGGCAGTTAACGAGAAGGTGGCGGTTACAGACCTTTCAGTTTAGATTTAATTCTATGAGCGCAAGCAGACGCCTTGTAAACACATAAAGTGACGCTAACCCGTCCTTGCATTCAACTAGCACGAGGATACGCTAAGCCACTGTTATATTCCAATTTAATCTGTAGTTTTTTACGTTGTTAAATGTTCTGTGGCATGACAAAAAGGACTCCTCATTATTTACCGAGTAGCATCACCTTCAATTTCCCCATATATATATATACATATAGATGTAGTATTATTGTTGGTATGTCAATAAAACTTGGTGGGAGAGGTGGCCTAGTTGGCAAGAAAAAATGAAACCAATCACTTTTTATTCATGGCGACAACAGTTGCATGACAAACACAGCTCGAAGGTACTGCATTGTAGATGAAATAATGGAGTTGCAGATAGATATGCTGAGTTCAACATATAATTTATTCATGGACACTTTTGAACATCTTTTCAATTACATCTTAATTTCTTACAACATATCCTTGATTGATACAGCACAATGGGTGCAATCTGCACCCCACAATTTATATAAAATGCAAACATATTTTTTAATAATAGAAAGAAAGTTTAGCGAAGCAAGAGATGTGGCTTATTCAGGAACAAGCAAGCAGCAAATGAGCAACGTAGTAAGTACCTAGAACTATTTATAATTTTGGACCACTTTGCTTTTATTCTGAGCAGCAATTGGGCAAAAGTCTACAGCAATATGTGACAAGTGAACATCAAAAGTGTGACATCAGTGCAGAAACAAGGGGGGTTTTCTTTTAATTCAAATTAGAAATTTAAAGGTGTATTGCCAATTAAATTTTATATTTTACATCACTACCTCACATTGAAAATGCAACACCAAGAAGGAGAGGACCCAAAAATTATGCAAATTTCAGGGTAGACGCATGTCAGTGAGTTACACGAATGATGTGAAATATGCAGCTCTTCTCCAGTGCACACTGAAGATTTAAGGGAAGGAACCCGCAAAATGTTTTCGCAAAATGTTTGGAAATTTTCGCACCGTTATTTCTCCTAGGGAAATCCTTGCAAAAAATTTGTTCCTGTCTCAGAAGATGCATGCAATAGCACAGAATGACAGGCCGTTGTCAACAGAGGCAGTTCCAGCAGACAGATCAATTTACGAGGGTCATGGTGATTGGACTGAGACTGGTCCAACAGCAAATCTCAACTGTCACACACCTGGAAGCATTCACAGTGCACCAGCTGGGGCAACAATGGTTGGAACAAGGAAATGCACATGTTCGAGATCTGCCGGTGCAGCCACTCCTCCATTCGAGGAGTGATGTCAGCAAGCGTGGATTGACGAATCCAACCACAAGCCACTCCTACCTCCATTCTGCAGCATGTTCCAGACACCCTGGATGTTCCCATATCAACCAGAACCATTTGCAGCTGATTGGTGGCTAATGGCCTGCACTTGTGGCATCTGTTAAGAAGACCGCCACTGACTCCACATCATAGACACCAATATCTACAATGGTGCTAGGGTTGAACAATGTGGACAATGGAATGGCACAGGGTTGTGTTCTTGGATGAGTAACGCTTGTTTCTCCAGTGATAGTTGCCATGTACAAGAGTGGCATCCATGTGGAAACAGGTCCTATCACACAGCAATTGTAGAATGCCCCATCACGCGACGATGAGGGATCATGGTTTGCGTACGATTCTTTAGTTCATATTCAGGGCATTATGAAGACCCAATAATATGTAGATGATGTGCTCCACCCCGTGACACATCCCTACATTCAGGGAGTGCCCATTGCCTTTTATCAGCAGCACAACACCGGAACACGCACTGCTCACATCAGCCAACATCCTCTGTAAGGTGTACATATGCTTCCCTGGCTACCGTTCTCTACTGATATCTCACCAATCAAACAAATAACAAATGGATTTTCAATGTATTGTAGTGCGTATATACATACACACACACTACACGATACTATATATATATTTAAACATACAATACAGTGCATCTGTACCTCATACACAAATATATATATAAATAATGCTATTTATATATATATAGTACAAAGGCTGAGATCCATAATTGATGGAATTTTGGCAATTCCAAATTTTAGACCATCTGCATTTAGAGCAAAGGGAGTTAACTGTTTCTGCAATACAGTAGAACTCCAATTACCCGAATCAATTGGGACTGGACCCCATTCAGATAATAAAAAATTCAGATAATTGGATTTTTCTTTAAGAAAGGGTCTACGTACACTAATTAATTACTGTATGTTGAAAATGGAAGGGAAAAAAACTATTTTTAAAGAAAAAGTGGTTTTAATTAATTAAAATGAAAAAGCAACACTTTTACATACATATTATATAGCATGCTGTAGAGTACTTATAAGTGCAGAATGTCATTGCTTGCTGAACAACTCGGTGAAAGAAAACTGTTTGACTGTCTTCATCCGTTTTTGAGCAGCCAAATCACGCATCTGCTTGACAATGAGAAGTTGCATGTAGCCTCACTCTTAATTTTTTTAGTCTTCATTTTTTGATTATTCTGAAAGTGATTCGGATAGCAATTCAGATAACCATTTGGATAAGTAGCGATTCGGATAATTGGAGTTGTACTGTACTATCAATAGTATTTTCAGCAAGAGTTTTCCTAATTGCAACCCCCAGCTAATTTTTCCCCCCTGTGGCCAAATATGGAAACATCATGCAAAAAAATTGTTTCGAGTGTTCCTAAACTAAAACTGGAAAGTTGTTTTCAGTTATATATCAAATAAAATAGCATTCAGCTTTTATAATACACTCGAAAGTCGTTAATTCGGACACCCATAATCCGGAATGATCTATAACCCGGACCTCAAAGTTACAAACATTCTGCGCATGCGTCGTAAGACCTTTACGGCTGCGAATATGCGTGTGCGCATGTGCATAATACATTTACGCATGCGTGTTTAATGTATAACGGAGGGTATAAGCTAAGCTAAAATTATCTAATTCAGTTAATGTTGCAGATTGTGTTGTTCCTTAATCTTCGAATTGGATCCGGCTTATTATTTTTTGCAGACTGTTAGAGCAATTTTTAAAAGTAAGCTTGAACTTTCGATTATGTCAAATAGAATTTCTGATATATATTTACTAATATGTAAAGGATCTACAAAGCGAAAGTATGTTTCGAAGTTCATTAAACAGAGAGTGGAATTGCTGCAAAAAATGGATAAAGGCATATCCTTTGATTATCTAATCATTCCGAAATATGTTATCAATCACGCTGCTCTGCGGGTGGGGGGGGGAACGACGCGGCGCACAATGAATTGGAAGTTGATGTCAGCATTATATCTTCAGAGCAGATTTTTTTATTTTATTTCGCTTATAACTCCTTACTAAATGTAGTATTTCATCTCAATGTCCTCCGTCTTTGATATGATTTAAATCAAGTTCCTCGTCATTATAATTCGCTTCCGATGGTGAAGAAAGTGACACAGAGGTTATTGAAAACGAAAAAATTTCGATTGACAAATTAGTCGGTATTCTCGACACAGCAATTATAGGACTTGAACAGCGGGACTTTGTAACTAAACAAGAAAACAGAATTAAAGAGAAAGTATTATCACATGAAACGAAGCAACTTAAACAATTTACATTGAAAGAGATGTTTAATAATAGAATTTCTGCATGCCATCTTAGCAGATTTAAACTGATGATCTATAATCCGGAAAAATCCATAATCCGGAATCGCCGAAGTCCCGACGAGTCCGGATTAACGACTTTTGACTGTAGCTGTTTCATTGCTTTTTATGGAGAAATTTAATATTTATCCCAGTTTTATTGCTTCTTTATATTTGACAATACATGCAATTTCCCGATATCTTTGCTGCTGTCCTCAGCCAACAGGTCTTTGTTGCATGCAGTGCAATGTGCAAGATTTAGATATTTTACTTAATAATTTTAATGCCTAGAAATTATGAAGAATATGAATCTTTAAAGCTGTGGCTTTGTAATTTTAGCCTGTACCTTTCTGCTTATGTGGTTTTATTTAGTGCCAAACCTCAGCATTGATGCAAACAACTAGATGGCAGTAACCCGAACAATATTTAAAGCTTATTAACAAACAAAAATGAATAACTATTTTGTACATAAGGAATATAATAATGTGCTCGATACCAAATTGGTGCAATTTTCTGATTTCTTTACTTTGTCACTATGTACATAGAGAAAAAATTGTTACTCTGAAACTGAAAATATTAAGTACAGGCACCCATATAAAATTAAAACAATACATACCGCATACATGGGCATATTTCTGAGCAATTCATCAAGGCTAAGAAAATCCTCTCTTTGAAATTTGGGGTGCAAAGACATTAATGATCTAGCTGATATAATTTTTCCTTGCAGTAAAAACTGGATTATCTAAAAGGAAAAAAAAAAAAAAAAAACACTTTATACTTTTCTAGAAGTTAATATTTTTTAAAAAATACACAAAAACATATCCGGAACAAATCCGGAAACATTGCTTTGAAAAGCTCTTTGGAATGATCCGAAACAGAAAGCGGTAGATTGTGTTCAATTAAAAACTGAACAAAATAGCATTGGGCTATAGGACCTGTTTCGTCATCTTTTATTAAGAAATTCATTATTTCTTTAGATTTTACAGTGCCAAGTTCATTATGGTTTTGAGAAAAAACATGCCGTTTACAGTCATCTTTTCCGCCATGTACAACTGAGAAATCTTTGTTGCATACACTGCAGTCTGTGTGATTCACAGAAATTTTGGATGCTTTAATGCATGGAAATTCTGAGGAATACGAATCTTTAAATTTCCGCTTTGATAATTTTTACTTCTTCGTTCGAGGTAGCGTTATTAAAAAAAAACTCCCACCTGAATCACAGTTCACAAGACACACGCTAAGCTCTCGCCGTAATCCAAACAATGAAGCCGAAGGCAGGCTAAACACGCAGCAGCAACTAACCTGGGAGACAGACAAAGTAGACAGATGTTGCGGGGGAACTACTGACAAGTCATTAGCGGTTGGAGTTACTGATCTATGATTAGCTATTCTTCAAAACCAGCAACGCACTCAACACGTGATATATGATGACACAAGTATTCAGCCAATCATCGGATGAATTAGTTGGTTCCGTTTTGCGTACTGGTTCTCCTTCTCTGTGTAAAATCTGTAGTTTTTTCCATACTTTTCATAGCTCGTAGTTTTTCTTGAATTTCCATAGAAACTACGGAGAATCCGTAGTAGTTGGAGTCTACGTAGGAACTCTTTTCAACTTACAAAGCTGATAGCTGTTTACATTCTCTAGCTTCCTCGAAGGGTCACTCGAGCTACCATCACCTTGTCCTCAAGGACATCATTATCCTGAATTTTTTTCACCCAGTTTACCCTGGCCTTATCCTTTCCCTCATTTGAGTTAGACTGTATGCTGCTTTTAACCTGAGAACAATTCCTTTTAAAATGTGAAGTTGAGTCACATACAAAACATTTTAAACCTTTCAAGTTACATGTGCTCTTCCGTACACCAGCTATGGCCTCTGACCCCTGGTGACCAGCTAGTTTCTCACACAATGCCTGATTTACATTCTTAGTTTCACTAACTTCCTATGCATGTTAAAGGACTTCCTTTTAGCAGCAAAAAATACATCACACTCTCTTCCGAGCTCTCTTGGCTTGCACCACTAGTCTCCCTGCCTTAACCTATATATACAGCAGTTTCTGTATCAAGGCTCTGGTAGATTTTGTCTGCCACTCCCAACTGATTAAGACCTTCAAAGTCTGTTAGCCTCCTCCCCCTTAATTTCAAATTATTTTTCCAGACCCAAAATCTCTTCCGAATTCCTCTTTGCTTTCCTGAAGTTATTTTCGTTAACATAGGCTCTTTCCAACCTGGAAAAGATATAGTCCCAGCCATTTGCTCTACTCGGAACTTTTAATGTCAGTAAGCTTATTGCTCTGGTTAACTCTTCTACTGATCTTTCCTTCCCATTCTCCCCCCATTCAGATATAGGACTCCTGTTGGAGTAACAATCCTGACTGTCTTTTTAATACTTATTAAAGGCAATTCCTCTGCCTCTAACTTGAATTCCCTTTCTTGCCTTGCCTCCTCCTCCCTGACCTCTCTATCAGCAATAACAACATTCAGCAGATCCTTTGCTATTTGCTCCTCATAGTTGTCACAAGCTAAAATGTTTTCCCTTAAGTCTAAAATTTTATATGTAGGTAATACTTCAACACCAAATTCTTTTGCAAGGGTGATTAGATCAGATTTTCTAGATTTGGTTAAAAATGACATTATGGGAAATTTACGTTCAACTTAATTAGGCCAACGGAAAACATCACCAAATATCCTTACAACAATTATACTTTAAATCTAATCCTTAATTTAAACTGAATCTCAAAATGTGACAAATGAATTAAGTACATATATCATCTAAACCTCAAAGAAGAAATATGTAGATATATATTTAGATACATTTAAGATACTGTAAATACATTTAAGAATTAAAGCAATCACATCTCATAAATTTACAGATCACAAACACTAAAGCATTAATAACCATTCATAACCATAAAATAAAAATGCACTTAAAATTTAATAATTCATATCTCAAAAAGTATTCAAATATGCTGAAATTAAGAGACACATTTCCATAACTTATATATGTAAATAAAATTATACCAAGACCAATGAGCACAATTAATAACAGTTAATTGATCAACTTCATATGTTTTGGCATCTTCAGAATATCGGTAAGCGACTTTAATATCCCTGTATAGCACATAGATCATGTAAGCCTATTTGCAGCTTCCCCCCACACTGATTTTTCTTAAATCGAAGCATATTATCACACTTTTTTGACACCTTTGTGCCTTTCAAACAAGACAAACGAAGCATTAATTGATTGCCATACACCACAAGAACACAGTCTGCACCATTTTCTTTTTGAGAAACTATAGATGTACGCCTTCACATGCACATTTTAATACCATTTTCCCTCAGATACCTTTTTGGCGGTTTCAGCATAGTTTACTTTTCATCGGATTAACACACATAGTTGATTGCATTCACACACATATTTTTAGCACTATTTTTCATCACAAAACCTCTTCGAACACTTGACTTTTTACTGGATTACATACACGATGCTTTTTTTTCCGATTGTAACCTGTAGAATGTTCCCATCTTTCATTTCACATAGAATTTTCAAATTTCTTCAGTCAGCTTTATTGATATCATACCACTGCCACCACTGTGATGTTCTGTTATCTCCGCATCTCCGAACATTGTCTGATTTGTTCACTTATTCCCTTGTGATATGTATATATTGTCGACATTATGAATGAAGCAACAAACTTATTCCGAAGTAATAAACAAGCACGTATTTTGCACTTTTTATATAGAACTAGCAGCTTCGCTGCCAGCCTTCGTCTGGCTTTTAAATGTACCGGAAAAATGGCTGAAGGGAACACCAAATGTTAAATTTAAAAACTACATAGAATTTTACTCAGCAGAACCACTTCATAAAAAAAAAAAAGTTATTACGTATAACAAAATTACAATGAAATAAGCAATATCCCTTAATACAAATATTAATTATTCTAATTAAAAAATTAATTAATTTTCCGTTGAAAAAAAAATCATGCAAAACTTTTCAATATCTTACAAACAGTAAAATAAGCAAAAAATAACATGAAAGCAACTCAAAAAACATAAAATTCCGCACAGAATTTTACTCTACAGAACTTTTATCAAAAAAATCAATAAAAATGATATATATATAAAAATGATAATGAAATACGTGAATCTTTTCAAACAGTGACATAAGAAATATGATGAAAAATTCTTGCCAAACCCATATTTCTAAAAGAATGAAACTATTCAAAATGATGCGATTTCATCAAAAATCTATTAACAACAATAAGACAGGAAAATTGTTGCCAAAACCCCACTTTTAAAGATGCGAGATGTGAGAAGTGTACTCTGAAGCTTCATTTAAACAAATTTTTAAAAATACAAAATATTATCATTTTTCCAAAATTCCTTTTGTAAAAGCAGTTGCAAGGATGAAAGTGTAACGTGTCCAAAAATCAAAGAAAAATAAACTGCACATTTTTAAAAATAAACTTTTTTTAAGAAAAAATCCCGCTGAAAAGGTGTTAAGCTCCCTTTGTTAAATAAATTCCTATTTAATCGATTTATTGAAACACGAAATTTATTTTTTAAGTTCGTAAAATAACTAAGTGCCTACGTTTCATGACGATGGGAAAATGGAGTGTGTAGAGTAAAATCTCGCTTTCTTATAGCCCATTATGTCTCAAAATGACACGATTTCGTCACAAAACATAAAATTAAAAAAATTCGAATTCGAATTTCGAAAAAAATGCTTCGAGGTGCACTGGCTCTTGTCTAGATGCACCTATGTACCAAATTTCGTAGCCATGGGTCTATTAGCTTACACGCAGCGCGAACGAAAGACACACACACACACAGACTCTTTGTTTTATTATGTGTAGAGATATAGCATTTTTTTGCTGGGTCTACTGAAACACTTATGCTTTCGATTTTTACAACACACTCAAGAAAAAGCCTTGAATATCTCAACTGCATTTCAGTTCAAAAAAGTTCTCACGTCATCCGGATGTGCATGCCACACTCCCCTGTCCCCCTTCTACCCTTGGTTGCCAGATTCTCCTTTCTTTTCTGATTGGGGTGGCTGGCCTTGCCAAATTCTCCAGCAGGGCTAGGTCGGGAGCTCTTCTGAAATCAAGCATGTACATTATGAAAAAAATTAGGACAGTTCTATATCTCCAGTTCTACTGGGCCAATTGACAAAATTCAAATTGCATTTTTCACGCCTCAAAAGCGCGACTTAGGATATATATTAGATTTATATATAGCATTGTTCTAACATAGGTATTTTGACACAAAATCAGACTTTTTTCCGAAATAGCATACCAATGTTTTCCATATTTCGATTCTACGACTCAAATTATGGCTAGATATTAAATTTTGTAAAATTTGGTGCGAAATTTATGGAGAAATTCTAAAATTTATCTTGCCGAAATTTTTTTAGTTTGGTCAAGAATAATTCACTTGGTGAACTTCTTTATATCATGGCAACCAATTCTCCTTTCTCTTCCATTATGCCTGAGTAGGAAAAAAAAGGCACCTCGTTCCTACCTTTTTACATTGTGCATGAGTGGGAAAAAAAAAGTCACATTGCTCCTACTTCCAAATAATTTTAGCAAAGTGTTTAAACCACATCTGATGTTTTATCGCTTTCAACAAATCCGCCAAATTTCCAAATGCAAAAATATATATATTCACATAAATCTTGGGAAATTTTGAATAAAAATTGTAATTTTTTGGAAGTATGCTTAGAAATACGTCTACTTTAAGAT